GGGTCTAGGGGTGCTGAGCGTGGGGGTAATGAGCCTGGGGGTGCTAGGTCTGGGGGTGCTGAGCCTAGGGGTGCCGAGTCTAGGGGTGCTGCGCCTGGGGGTGCTGAGTCTGGGGTTGCGGAGCCTGAGGGTGTTGGGCCTGCTCGAGTTGAGCCTGGTGGTACTGTGCCAAGAGGTCTTTCGGGTGCTTCGTCACGGCGGGAGCAGCCCTCTCCCCAGGAGCTGCGTGAGTGGTTTGCTCGCCCCTGGAGTCGTGCTGCTGGAGCTGGTGGTGCTACCGATGCTGGAGGTTCTGCGGCTGAAGGTTCTGGAGCCACGGGTCCTGGAGGTGCTTGTAGCGGGGGTACTGGAGCTGCTAGGCCTAGTGGTGCTGCTGGTGCTGGAGCTGAAGGTGCTCCTAGTGGTACTCCTGGAGCTGGTGCTGCTGAGTCTTCCGGTGGTCCTGCTGGAGCTGGAGCTACTGGAGGTGTTAGCGCTGCAGGAGCTACTGGGGGTGCTGCTGGGGCTGGTGGTACTGCTGGCATTGGAGCTGGTGCTGTCCCTGCTGGTTCTAGAGGCTCTGCGCGGCCGCGACCGTACTTCGTTCCGCTCCTTCAGCAGATTCTTGGTCTCCCGCCTTCTGCTGGTCCTCCTCCCTCCTTAGAGTGTCCACCGCCTGTCCAGTCCGAGTCACAGTTACAGCTGCCCTCCCCACTGCCTGCTCCTTCTCCCTACACTGGTCCTACTGGAGGTCTTGCTGAGCCTGCGTCTCGTCCTGCGTTGCCTGTTCAGGCTGCTCGCACTAGTCGTCGTGTTCCGCGTCCGCGTGCTCTTGCGGTCCCGGGCACACACCAGATGGCACTGCATCCTTCCACTGCTCCGCTGCGTGTCCCCTTGCCGTCTCCTCTGGAGTCCTCTCTTCCTGCTCTTGCTTACCCAGAGTCTACTCTCTTCGTGTTGCCAGCCCTACTGTAACACGTCTCCTTGCTACTGTTGTCGTTGACCCTTCTTTTGAGTCCACTGCTGCGTCTGCCCTAGTTGCTGAGCTTGTCAACTTTGCTGCTCGCTATCGTCAGGACTACGCTGCTAGTCTAGTTGCTGAGTCTGCGTCTGTCTGTCCTCCGTCCGTCGGGGGTGAGTGTGCTCTTAGCACGGACGTCCTTGAGGGCAGGCAAGAGGAGTTCCAGTGTTTTGCTGCTGCTTTCCCTCATCTCGTGTCCATGCTGATTGCCCCTAAGGGAGACCCGGATGCACCAGACATCCCGACTCCGCGCTCTTACGCGGAGGCGATAGAGGGTCCCTACTCCTCTCAGTGGCAGTCAGCCATGGACGCAGAGATGGCTTCCTAGAAATCCACAGGCACCTACGTCGACAAGGTTCCCCCTCCTGGGGCGAACATCATTAGCGGCATGTGGATTTTCAGGGTGAAGCGGCCGCCAGGTTCTCCACCTTTCTTCAAGGCGCGTTACGTGGCTCGAGGCTTCAGACAGCGGCAGGGAGTTGACTACTTTCAGACCTTCGCTCCCACCCCGAAGATGACCACTCTTTGGGTGCTGCTGCACATAGCCACTCAGCGCGACTACGAGCTTCACTCTCTTGACCTCAGCACTGCTTTCCTACAGGGCAGCCTGCATGAGGAAATCTGGCTGGGCCGCCCACCTAGCTTCACTGGGTCGTTTCCTCCTGGTACCCAGTGGAGCCTCTGGCGGCCAGTCTACAGTCTCCGCCAGGCGCCCCGTGAGTGGCACGACACACTGAGGACTACTATTGCGGCTCTTGGGTTTGCTCCTTCTACGGCCGACCCGTCGCTGTTTCTACGCACTGACACCTCTTTGCCGCCTTTCTACATCCTTGTGTACTTCGACGACTTGGTCTTTGCTACTGCTGACACTGCAGGACTCGCCCACGTGAAGTCCAAGCTGCAGAAGAGACACACGTGCACAGACCTGGGTGAACTGCGCAGCTACCCTGGCTTGCAGATCAACCGGGACAGAGCACGGCGCACCATTACCCTGACTCAGTCACACATGGTGCAGCAGGTCCTTCACCGCTTCGGCTTCACGTACTCCTTGCCTCAGGCCACTCCTCTGTCTACTCGCCACTCGCTCTCAGCTCTGCCTTCGGATGAGTCCGTAGAGCTGAATGGCCCGTACCCAGAGCTTGTTGGCTGCCTCATTTACCTGATGACCTGCACTCGTCCTGACCTAGCATACCCTCTTAGCATCTTGGCACGCTATGTTGCTCTTGGGAGACACCAATCAGAGCACATGGCTGCTGCGAAGAGGGTGTTGCGCTACCTGTGCAGTACGTCGGGCTTGGGGCTCGTGCTTGGAGGGCGGAGTCCAGTGGTCCTCACTGGTCACGCAGACGCTTCTTGGGCTGACGACTTGGCTACGCAGCGGTCGTCACAGGTTTACACCTTCAGCCTTGGTTCCGGCTCTTTCTCGTGGCGGTCTACCTGCTCGTCTTCTGTTCTCGGCTCCAGTTGTGAGGCCGAGATCTACGCAGGGGCCATGGCTGCACAGGAGTTACGCTGGCTCACCTACCTGCTGGCCGACCTAGGAGAGCCGCCTCGTTCTCCTCCAGTTCTGTACGTAGACAACAAGGCCATGCTGGCCTTGTGTCGGGAGCACAGACTGGAGCACAGAACAAAGCACATTGCTCTTGGCTACTTCCTTGCTCGTGAGCTGCAGCAGCATGGTCAGCTGCGCCTTGCTTACGTGGCCTCTCAGGCCAACACGGCTGATATCTTTACCAAGGCACTTCCGCCTTGTGATCATCAGCGCTTTCGCACGATGTTAGGTCTTGTGCCTACTTGGCCTCACTTGCTTACTTCTTGACCTTGCTTGTACTGTGATCTATATATACTTGCACTTTCTTGTTTACCTTTATATATATGATCCTGCATGTGAACTGGCCTTGTGGCCTTCAACTTGTGCTCGGAATGTGTGGTGACGTTGTGATCCACCCAGAGCTTGCTTTGCTTGACTGGTCTTGTGACCCGTCGTTCTCCCCCACTTTGCCTATGGGGGTGTGTCAAACATATAGTATCTAGCCGATGTAGGCTGTTGTGGGTTAGATACTAAGAGGTACACAATTCTAAGGTTTCATATTTGTATCACACTTTCCTAGTTCATTCATTTCTCATTCTCTTCATATTCCCAAATCTTTTGCTCAATCCGAGTCCATCTCCATCTTGTTGCTGTTGTTGTTCAGCACGTGCAGCTCGAGGTACAAATGCGTAGGTGGCCCGCGATTGTTGTCGAGGTGGAGCACGGTAAGAAACCGGTTGTTGCCGTATATATGATGTCCCGTCAACACTCATTGGTGCTGTTCCCGTGTTTACTGTCAATGATGATTGTGGTGCTTGTGCTGATGCCATGAACGCTGATATGGCTTGGAAAACTTGTTGTCGTATCACAGGATCGAGGCCTGCTGCACCATCGCCTGCAGCGGAACCATCTCCTGTTGCAGCGTTAAACGCGAAGAACTATGACGATCCTCCAGCACCTCCTGGTCCAGTTGCAGATGCAGCTGTTGGAGCAAGGCTGGCAAAGGTCACTCTTGAGAAACCAGAGCCAGGTAGTGGTGGTGTAGAGGGCTGCTGCGAGCCACCACCTCCACTTTGCAAGTGGGGTTTGCCGTTGTTGCTATCCGTCATGATTGTAAGTTGGCCCTAATAATAAAGACTTTGGTGAGTGAGAATTCGTAAAAACTAGATCGTAAACTCTCCTGCTCTCATACCATGTTGAACTGAGAAATGCCTTAGGATCTTTAAGAGTTTAGTCTCTGTGATGTATTGCAGCGTAAGACTTGAATTTCTGTGCTGGTCAGAAGTGAGAACAAGAATTGATAATGAAGGAAAGTTACAAGAGATTTATAGTATAGAAATGTACATATTGAGAGATGTATTTTTTCATGCAACGGGCTAGATATCGAGTCGACTCTATGAAGAGGTATTATCCTGTGTCATGCGAACAGTCACGAGACTGTTCGCACTACTACCTGTAACTTACGCGAAGGGTCAGCTGATACAGTAATATGCTCATATATAGCAATACTTAGATACCACTGTAGTTTTATGCTATTGAACTACTAAATTGCTCGTCACATTTCTTCGTCCAACAGTTAGCATGCGAACACTGTTAGTACCCATATCAAGGTGTACAGACGAAAGCAGTTTCTAAGATTTCATTGATTTTGATGGTGACATTTCAAAAGGAAAATGAATCATAGTATCTGGTAAGGGTTTTATAAGTCTAAATATTGATAGAACCTGGAGTCATTTCATACCTCGATATAGTGTGCATGACCAGTTTTTCTGGAGCGCGAAGCGTGCCCAGGCACGAATTTCTCTCCCACGTCAAAATGAGGGTGCGGCTCGCTGAAACAGTTTCTCTCACGAAATCTTTCTCGCGCTGTTACCAGCTGGGTACGAAATGATGGCCAGAAACGAGGCAAAAATAGGGCCTTCCACCCAATCAAGACAGATGTTGTTCAACCGAGGCGCGTTCTGTTCAGCGATCTGGGTGCGCGAATCACACAATCGGCTCGAAACTTGTCATGCGACACAATTTCGCCACCTGTTGGGCGAAATTCCTGCAGAAGCCCTTTCCCCTCGAGAACCCTGTGGGTTTTTTGTGATGTAGATTGCCACCCTTGAGCCCTCTGGGCACCAAATCCATCATCGGGTCACCTGCAAGCGCAGAGAGTCGAGGTACTGTATTGAAACGCGTGTTGAGTGCTAACTATGCTGGTTACATCGAGAGCACCATTCGGGACTGGAGTTAGGCGAAGGGGGCGACGGGCTAGCAAAACGATGGAATTGGTTTGGGCGGGTTGCGGATGATTTGGTCACGATTGGAGGGGGGAATGAGTGAAGGATGCGAACTGAAGAGCAGCGAAAACAAAGCGACGAGTTACTCGCTCGCTGATCTCGATGCTGTATTGAGTGGGCTGGCTTGGTTGACTGCTGCGCACACACCTGAAACCTGCGATTCGGAAAATACCAGATGTAGAATATGCTTCCTGAGTTACCACCTGGTTCGCTTCTGACCTGTGAGGGACGCTTCTGTCGCAGGTCAAACTGAATGCGCTTACAGTTCATTGGTGAACCGTCTGCCTTGCTTCTGATAGACGGTTTTCGCCTGAAACACACATGGCATGACGCGTCTCGGCAAGCCCATGTGAACGCGAAACGGAACAAACCTCAACCGAAACCTGGGTTTGAGAAGTGAAGAAAGGCACATTGGTGGTGGTACTAAAAATAGCAGCAATACAAGTTACTCAACGCACCTCAGCAGTTATTCAGTGATAGCCGTGAACCAAGGCGTGGGCTTCTTAGTCGATCCTGCAACATAGAAGTCATACGTTCTACGTTCCTAGTCTAACTATGTACCATATAGTCCTTCCAAACAGTAACAGGTTGAGCACACAGACTCCCCTCATGGCGCGACTATTATTCGTTGTATCGTTCGCCGTCCTACTGGCGGTGGCGTCCGCAGGACAAACCGTCGTGACCGGACCCAACAATCCGGCAGTGAACCTGGACAAGGCCAAGGGCGAGAATGGCGTGGCGACGGAGGTCCCTTCTGGCATCGAGAAGGCGGCGGCTGCGGGCAACCTGGACAAGTTCGAGGGGACGACGATCGTGAGCCCAAGCACGGACAGCATGCTGATGGTGGACGTGAAAGCGGCCGGATGGAATAAAATGAAGTGTCACAAGGACCTGGGCAAGCCCGGGGACGGCGCGTGCACGCCCGCCAACTGCAGCAAGGGCGGCATCGCCGCCAAGTGGAAGACGTCGAACCTGCTCAAGAACAAGCTGGGCGTGGAGGTGTACGTGAAGGGCAACCCGCTGACGCTCAAGAAGGCGTCCCCGCAGACGTGCTGCAACACGTGCGCGGGGTACAGCAGCTGCACGTACTGGCAGTACATTCCCGACATCACGATCGACGGCAAGAAGTCGGACGGCGCGTGCTACCTGGTGCACGACAACATCGACTACTCGTGTGGCGAGCTGACGGCGCAGTACGCGACTGACTCGAAGCCCGTCGCGCTGCAGGTGCGCACGGGCGGCGAGTGCAACCCCGCGGCGAACGTGGTGAACGACCCGCATCTGGTGGGCGCGTACGGGACGCACTTCGACTTCAACGGGCGGCCCGACAAGGCGTTCTGCCTGCTGACGGACAAGGACCTGCACGTGAACATGCTGCTGCGCGGGTACTACTCGGACGACACGGAGAACGCGGCGCTCGTGGTTGACGGCAGGGCCGTGCACACGTGGATCAAGGAGCTGGGCATCATCTGGTTCGCCAACGGCGCCGACCACAAGGTGCGTCTGGCGGCGCGCGGTGGCAAGCAGCAGGAGCGCGGTGATGGGTTCATGAAGACGATCGAGATCGAGGGTGAGGAGATCCCGACGATGAGCGTGGGCGACGAGGTGACTACCGAGGGCGGTCTGACTGTGCGGTTCGCGGCTCTGGAGAAGGAGGGCCCGTATGACGTGGACTACTACACGCTCACCATTGACGGGCTCGTGGCGCTCGACCTGCGCTTGCGCGTCGCCAACCCCAAGCTGCAGACGCCCAACGACGCGGAGGCGCACATCAACGCGGGGATCGTGGAGCTGGAGCACACCGACGACGTGCACGGCGTGCTCGGCCAGACGTACCGCCCCGACCACGCTGCTCGCGCTGCCGACTTCCAGCGGCTGATCGCGAACCTGCACCGGCCGGTGTCGGCTGACAGCGCGGAGGGCGCTGGGTTCCTGGACGGCACTCCCCGGCTGTACGAGTCGAGCTCCGTGCTGTCCGTGGACTGCGCGCAAACCGAGTACCACCGCGCCAAGCAGCTGAGCCCCGTCGAGGACTTCCCCATGGAGCCCCTCAATTAACAACACTCACTCCGTGGTGTATGGTGGGCTTGATTTGTGGCTTCTTTAGGTGGGCTGATTTGTGTACACAAAAGCTGTGCTCTGTATTGTAGGTTGGCTGACCTCGCCATGCCTCTACACTGTAAATTCTTAGGCTAAACTCTTTTTAAAATACATTACAGAATTCATTCCCGTAATTGTCAAATGGGGAATACTCTTCTTGGTCTTCTCTGGCCTATTCCTTGTCCCAGATACTTACTGTCAATGGGAATTCATGCAGCGGATGATGTGCTGTGCTTTGGTGATGGCTGCAGGCAACACCAATAGCTTTGGATTTTTGAAAGGATCACAGTGTGTAATCTTTGCCAGAATTGATGATGCTGATCATGGGGCTTGGCTGGCACCCGATGCGTCAATTATTTTTACAGGAGCATAAGCCTCTGACGTGACAGCTGAGACGGAATGGGGCTTTGTTTTTATGTCCAGGGTCTGTAAAGCTCCATAGCATCTGCACCGACATTGGTGAAACGAGAGTACTGGTAGCAGTGTGGGTTTTTTCAATCACCAGGGAAATCCCGCATCGAATTGAGCTGTGAGGATGAAGTAGAGCACGAACTAATCTATCAGGTATCTAATGCAGCATCCGCCTATCAGGTTTCAAATGGTTCTGTCGGGAGCCCAGAAGTTGTATCCATCATTGGAATCCCTTGGGGAGTCGGAGTTGACCACCTTGCATGGGATGGGAGAGAAATGGGTGGAGGTAGAGAAACCGTGGGGATGAGCGTGGGAGGGATGAGTGTGGGAGAGATGACTGGGAGAAAATTGCAGTGCGAGGGGAGAGACTAGGTGGGGGGAGAGGGAGCGGAGGAGCAACAGACTCCCCTCAGCACCCTCTCCCATAGCATATGTTGCCGCAGGCTTTGCACAGGTTGGTGCAACATGCTCGTATCACTTTAACCCACCTGTGATACGAGCACCACATGCTCCACTTTGCTCCCCTGTAGCAGCTGTGCCAGAGAGCCCAGCTGATGGGAGCAGCAGTGGGGCAGGGAGGGGCAGGGTCGGAAAAAGAGGTGATGGAAGGAGGGAGGCACGGGGACATAGGAGTCGGAGACAAGCAGAAAAAATGGAAAGAACCGAAAGACGTGAGTGCGAGAGACACGAGAGAATGCAGGGAAGAGAATACTGTGAGGATGCGGGCGGAGGGTGCGCGGATGAGGGAAAGGAAAGAAGTGGGGATGGGGGTTCGAGCTACATAGGAACTGGAACAGCAGGTAAGAGAGGAAAGGGGGGAGGCGTGCGCTTGGCGGGATTTGGGTCAGAAGGCCGATTAAACGATGGGGGTGGGGTAGAGGAAACTGGGAGTGATGCGGCTATTGGCATTGAGCATGTGCTGTGCTTTTGGGAATTCTCAAAAGTGACTCCCTGTGCGGTGCTGCTGGTATGTGCTGGGAGAAGTACGGCATTGAGCATGTGCTGTGCTGCTGGCAGCGGCCTACCCGCCCCGTGACGACCACTGCCTGAGTGCCCCTGAGAGCAGTTCTCACTGCTGACTGGTCCGCCACTGACCCTGCTATGGGCTGCCGTGGATGGTGGTGGGATGGCACGGATGGGGGTGGGGGGATGGAGAAGCACGGGAGAGCGGGAGACAAGTGCGATTATGCTTCTTTGGAGTGGATGAACGACCACAGACCCGTCCCAGGATGAGGTGAGGGAGTGGCCAGGTGGAGGGGTTGGTGGAAGGCAAGAGAGAGTGGCATAGATGGAAGAGAAGGGAAGAAGGCACCAATTTGGGCAGTGAATGCATTGACGACGAAGATTGGTACCCACCAGAACCCTTTTGTCCCCATCCAGCACCCGTTAGCACTCTTCGATCGCGGCAGACAGTGCCAGCCAACAGCAGCGGCGACCTGCACGTAGGGCCCGAATTTAACAGTGGCCTGCTTGGCGTCTTTCATAAGTACCCTCACCCTCCTGCGCGCCAATATGAGCTGCAACACCCCCTGCGGGAGGGGAAGAGGGGAGGGGAGGGGGGGGGGGAGGGGAGGGGAGAGGGGGGGGGAGGGGAGGGGAGAGGGGGGGGAGGGGGGGGGGGGGAGGGGAGGGGATGGGAGGGAATGGGAGGGGTTGGGAGGGGATGGGAAGGGCGGGGAGGGAAGGAAAGGGTGGGAAAGAATGTGGGAAGAGAAGGGAAGGAGAGAACAGTCGGGAAGGAGAGGGTTGGAGAAAAGCATTGGGGGAACGGGAAGGGAGGGAGAGCAGTGGGGGAGAGGAGTGCGATGCTACCCAAGAATCACCCGAGCAGCAACAGACCTGATCAATTCGTCCGAAGAGCAGCAGTCACCTGAGAATCATCTGGCCTGTATGCGAGTCAGCATCTGTGACCAACACTGCAGCATCCCCTCCCTGCTCGCCCTTCCCCTCTTCTCTTCCCCCTCCTCCACTTCACTGGCCTCGTCCTCGTCTGTGCAGAATGGAGGGTGCAACAGGGAAAGCGAGGGGGCGAGGTGAGCGATGGAGAGGTGACTGTTGAGTCAACTCAGAAGTCACAGCACCTATGCTACGCCGCCTCTACACAGTTGAGCAATGCCACCCACACATCGGCGCAGTCACTCCGCCCACCCCACCCGATCCCCCCCAACCGCACTGCACCCCGCTTACGCCGCACCAACGCCATCTCTGGGTAGAGTGTCTGCGCCGTACCACCGCCTTAGCTTCGGGCCGCCTCGGATGGGATCATGCGCGCCACGTCATGCGCGTGTGGCGGGAGGCAGACGGTCTCCCCTGTGGTTTGCTGCTGCCAACCCTAGATCTGAAAAAATCTTAATCACTGTTCCTCCACCTTGCCCCCCTGGAAGTCCTGCAGGGTACGCATCCGGACAAGATGCTTGCAGCGCTCGAAATTAGCTTTCGGAAGGACCTTAGTAAGGAAGTCGGCTGCTTGATCTTCTGACCGTACGAACTCAAAGGTAAATGTCTTTTTCTCCAGCTGTTTACGCACCCAATGATACTTGATATCCATGTGCTTGGTACGTCCGTGCCAGCTGTCGTTTTTCACCAATGCTATGGCTGATTTGCTGTCCGATCTGATGGTAGTTGGTCCTTCAATGTGTATCCCCATTTCTTGCAGTTAACGCCGAAGCCACACTCCTTCTTGACATGCGTAGAATAACGCCATGTATTCCGCTTCCGCGCTTGAGAGTGCCATGTCGTTTAGCTTCTTGCCTTGCCACGTGATTGCTGTCCCGCCAAGGAGGAAGACGTACCCATAAGCTCCCTTTCTGTCCTTCTTATCTAATGCATGAGATGCATCAGCATATCCGATTAACTCCATTGCTTCTTCTCCGCCTTCGTAGAGTAGCCCCTCTTCTCCCCGTTGATGCAGATAGGTGATTGTGCGCTGCATCTCCTTCCATTTGCGGCCTTCTGGCTGCAGCACGTTCTGCCCCAAGAAGTTGGCAGCATGTGCGACGTCTACCCGCGTACAAGAGACGGGGTACATCACCGATCCGACCCGTGACTGGTAAGCCTTCAATGCTCGCTCCTTGCTGCCCCATTGGATGAGTTCTTCTTCAGGGTTGACTTCCTTCTCTGACAGGCTGCTGAGCGGAGTGGTCACTGCCTTGGTGCAGTCCGGTGTTCCAAACCTTTCTTGCAACCGATGAATGTACTTCTTTTGGTAGAGTAGCAGCTTCTTCCCTTCTCGGTCCCGCTCCAGGTTCATGCCAAGGAACAACGTGGCTCTCGGGATCTGCTTCACCTAGAAGACAGCTGCAAGGTGAGCACACACTTCCTCAACTCTGTCTTCCAAAGGTCCAGCCACTAGGATGTCGTCGACGTAGAGTAGGAGGTAGACATTTTCCTCCCCTTCCCCCTTCCAGTAAAATGCTCTGTCACACTGACTTTTCTTGAAACCTCCTTCGAGCAGGCGTGCATCCATAGCCTTGTACCACTCTCGAGGGCTTTGTTTCAGCCCATAGAGCACTTTCAGCAGTTTGCATTTTCTGTCAGTCCCGTCCTCCATTCCTGTAGGCTGATCCATGTAGATGTCTTCTTGGAGTTCTCCGTAGAGGAAAGTGTTCTTGATGTCAAGTTGAACCATGATGTAGTTGCGTGCTGCCACAATCTTGAAGAGTGTCCTTGCTGTAGTCAATTTGCTGACAGGGGCATATGTCTCTGTGTAGTCAATCCCCTCCACTTGTGTGTAACCTTCTGCCACCAGCCGTGCTTTGAACCTCTCAAGCTGCCCCTTATCCCTTGAAAATCCACTTGACGCCAACGGCATGCCTCCCTTCAGGCATTTGGACGAGTTTCCAAGTGCCTCTTTCTGTGAGAGCGTCCAACTCCTCTTGTATAGCTGCTTTCCACTGCTCCTTGTATGGTCCAGAGAGTGCTTCCTCGATGCTCAAAGGTTCCTGCGGCAGATTGTAAGTCTCTCTTCTTTCCTTGGAAATCAGCGCTGTCGCCGTTGAGGTGAGGAGGAGGTGAGTGTGCACGTCTTTCCAGCATGTCATCAGGACCTGTTGGTATTTCGGATTCGGCTTCTTCATCCGCATCCCTCTTCCCAGCTCCTCTCCTTTCACCGAAACATCACATGTACTCGTGTCTGCTGCCATCTCCCCTGCTTTCTCTGTGCTTGAGCCTCCTTCTTTTCTCCCAATAAGAATAGCTCCTTCCTGCAGTAAGCTGTCAATTTCTGCTGCTCCTTGGTCGTTGTTGTTTATCTCGAAGAACTCCCATGGGTCGCTTTTGCCCTCTGTACTTGGCTGACCTACACTTTCAGCTTCATTCCCTCCCATGTCTTCATGTGTGTCGCTAGCTGATTGTTGCAGAGGTGGAGTTGTAGGAGCCGCTTACATGTCACCGTTGGCGAGCGTATCCGCAGCTGGCTCCCACACCAAATCCACTCCAGCTTGGGTATGTTCCTCCTCATATTCTTCCCCTTCGTCGTTTGCTGTCCCCAAGCCTTCGTTTTGGTCATCTTCAAGTAGTTCCTCCGCTCGTTGAGGTGTGGCAGGTGC